GTCCCCCCGACTCCCTTTACTCACCAGTGGTCCCAGGCATCAGGTTTGCTTCATAAAGGCAGAGCTGATGTTTCCTAAGAACAAAATGTGTGAGCGTTTACAAGGAAGTCAAAGTATTTTAACAAAACCAGCTGATCCCTGCCCCTAAAAAGCACTTAGACCAGTTTGAGCCAAGAAAGTGCTGGGCCACGCTCACCCAGCAGCAGGGCATGGCTGTGATGGGCAGCCCTGCAACATCCACAGGCAGAGGGAAGGGGCTGCAGGGGGGCTCCAGCTCCTCACTAAGTGAAATGCACCTACAAATAGAAATACACACACCAAACCAAACCCACCTGTTTCCACGGGGCTGGTGTTAAGGTCTTGTGTTTAAGGGATGGTACATACAGCTGGGAGGGAATGGGCATATAAGGAAAAGGGACCAGCTCATGGGGCCCAGATCAGGAGAGCAAAGCTGTAGCAAAGGGCTACTGCCATATACCTCCGAGTAAAAATTTGGCTCCTTAATCTTATGAAAGCAAGCTAGGAGAAAGCGGCAGCCAGTCCTTGCCAACAAAGCAAGTTTATTTGACCTTCATGGCCAGTGCATGAAACATTAACAATAAGACTCCAAAACTCCAGCCTCTACTCTTTGCAATATGCTCCAGAAGATGATTCAGTGCTGTCATGGGTCACAGAGAGACAAAACATCTCAGGAACCAGAAACCACCAGCTCGAGCCTGGCAGCCAGGCAAGGCTGTTTGCCAAACCTGCCTCATGAAGGCTCAGCATCAGCACAGACCTTGCCCAGGTGGCCACACACGTCTGAGTAGCAGCCATGCACTGCCATCCTAGAGATGAATACGCAGGGAACCTTTCAGGGCTAAAGCACTGGCCTGGTACAGCTCCTCTCATTAACCTTCACACAGCGGTTTGTATAAGCTACACATTTCATAGGTCCACAAATCAGAAGGCCAAATAGCCCAGGCTCCCACTTGGTGCTAGTCCTGGGCTGCCCACATGGTTTTCCCACTGAGAAACAACTTGCAAAGAGGCAGAGTGGGAGGCCAGGTCCTGCAATGCTCCCACTGCAGTGCAGGTGGCCACTTTGCTGTCAGGAAGGCAGGGGTTTCTGCTAAGCCACACAGGACAGGAAGAACGTGACAAACAAGACACCCTTCACAGGCTCCACTCGGATGTTTGCCAAGTTTTGTTGTGTCTGGATAAGTTTCATTCCAGGGGACTGCTAGCTACAGCACGCTTAGAAAAGAGCATAGAAGGGCATGCACATCTTCAGAGGCCCACCCAGGCTTGCAAAACACAGCTGGAAGCCTGTGATGGATCCCTGCCCTGAAAACTTCGTGCCTGCATATGAAGCATCTCAATATCCAAAGACAAAATTCCAATGGGTATGGGTGGAGGGCAAAAGGGAGAGTGCCAGCTTGGGATTCCTCAGCACTGAAACCCTTGCTGTAACATAAGCAATGCAGAAGTTCCTACTCCAGCAGTGGATCACAGCAGGCAGCAATTGCAACCATCAGCAAACATATTTCAAGGCAACCTGGTGAATGGAAATTGAAATCTTATTTTACCTGATTCAGTTTGCTCATCTAGAGGCAAGCAGTCCATCAGCTGAAACAGCAAGTTCTTGCAGTTGTTGTAGCAGCACTTCTCTCTTTTGAGGGCAACGTACTAGTTTTTGATGCCACATTCAAGCAATCCCTGACTGCCAGAGAACAACCAGGGGACTGCTTTTCTAATCTCCCAGCAGAAGGGAAAAGAAAAAGTTACCAGAACCAAAGAAATCAGGCAGGCCTTCCCTACCCTAATGGTAAACTCCCAAGGGAAACCATGGACTTTTCTTCTTTTGAGATCTTTGTGTGTTTTTTTCCAACTCTCCCCATTCCTGAGCATCCTTCCTCAACCATAACCCAGGAAAACTGTGAGAGAGACAGACATGGGGCCCCACACAGACAACCATTCATGAAGCTGGGCAGTTAATGTGGTGGTCCATGGACAGACTAAAGCCATTGGCTCATGAAAGCCACTCCATCACTTTCAGGACAGCCACCCCACTGGCTCTGAGCTCTCTTCTTTCAAATCCTTGGAAGAGGAATTGGGATGCAAAAGAAAAGGCAAAGGCTTTGGTAGGAAACAGTGATGGGTGATACATAAAGTCTTTGGTGTGAGGACAAAGCTCCCTGATCTCCAAAAGGGGGTGGTGGAGATGGCTGTGCAAGGCTACTTCACAAGTGTGGAGGCAGGACAGGGCAGCACACATTCCCTCCTCCTGGCTAGGGGGGCACAGCAGTCACAGCTCCATTGTGTTTGAGTGGGACCTTGAACATGGGGCACTTCCAAGTGCCCTGCTCAGAGACAGAATAAAGAAACTTGATGTAAGGGCAAAGTAGAGCCAGGAAAACGATCAAAAAGCCAGAAGACTTCACAGTTGAGCAAGAGGCTTACAGGGGCTGACCCATTTGATCTGGAATAAAGGCAGATGGGTGTGTGATGGCACCTTTTAACACACCTTTGTGCCATGGATGGTACGAGGATTAGGAAACTGCACGTGTGGGTGAAGGCAACACTACACCTCAGCTGCTCAGAGAAGGAAGCAGCAACAAAGTCTCCTGTTCATTTCCAAGAAGGCGCACTGGCAAGAAAATAAGCTGCTTGGGAATTCAGTGTCATTTTCAGTTTGGCTTTTATTTTCACTGACTTCAACAACAAGGTGTTCCAAAACACACACAGGTCTTGGTGCAGGCAACACTGTCATTGCTACAAGCATGGCAGATTCTCAGCTCAATTTAACCCATACGCTTTGATGTATCAAAACAAAACAAATCACAGCTCTACAGGGGAGGGTAAAAGCTACAGCAGTTCAAACTCACTTGAAGATTCCAGTTACCCAGAAGTGGGCTCCACAGTGGTATACAGTAGAAAGAAGGTTTTCACAGCATATATTTTAATCATTAGTGATGCAGCAGAAAAGCTCCATCTCACTGCCGAGTTGAAAAGCAGATACTGAAGTTCTTGCACCCAGACTCTGGGCACAGCATTAACTGCATTAACCTTTATAGTCAGAAGCTTCCTAGTTCCTAAAACGACAGTATTTTGCATCAATATTTGTACAATACCGAAGCAGCTCAGAAGGATTACACAATGGAGATGCAAGACCTTGGAGGCGAGAAAGGCACAACCTAATTCACCTCGAGGAATTTGCAAAGTACCTGCACTAACACTTTCCCCGCACCAACACTGCCCCGCTGAATTAATTCTTGCATCGAGTCAAGAGCAGGATTAAACACTTCCTTTGTAGCATATAGGAGAAACACAAAAAGACAGTAAGTTTTCACACTGAGCATGTTAAATACTTTGAAATCTAGGACTCTGCTCTTTGAAGTGTTACAAAACAAAATGATAAAACAGGCTTTCTGCACCTACTCCCCCCCCCTCAATTGCAAAGTAACACAGGAACCTCAGTATGAAAAATACAAATATATTTGTCCAGTGACAAGTCATTTGTTCCATGGTATACCGTAAGCATTCTGCATAAAAATAATAATAATTAAAAAAAAAAAACAAAATCAGAAAAACAAACAACTCTATTGTGGTTCTGTCAGACCCGATAGCCCAAGAAGAAATAAAAATTGGCATGTTATGCTGTAGGAAACAAAAATTACACATACAAAAAAAATATTTATATACACACTCTTTACAGGGTAACCGTCTTGCATGACTATTTAGAGCTATCCAAAATAGGCTTGCACAGTTACCGAAAGGCAGTCTTTGAATGCAACACAGACCTGGCACAACAGACAGATGGAGAAGGATGCTTACTGTATCGGACTTAAATGAAATACATGGCACACAGCAGGGACCAGAAAACAGCCGCTGCATTGAAACGAGATTATTTGGTTGTAGCAAGGTAGGATGACAAGTCATTTAAACTGCTTTCTACATCTTTCCTTAACCAAAAAAAGTCAGGCTTACTGTTAAAAAGAACAAGCCAACTTGAAAGCAGCTGTGCTGAGCCAAGCTCCTCAGTTTAGGTTTGTATTGTACAGATTAGAGTCTCTCTACCTTAGCCAATATAAATGTGAAAACACGCACTCTGTTCAGTTACTTGTCCACAGGATCACTGGCAGTCAGAGGAAATGCCTCAGAGCACAGCTGCTGTAAAACCAATGAAGAAAAAACAGAGAAAAATCAATTTCTCATGTAAACATGACATTTTGCACTAGCAACACTCATATTACTAGGAACTGGTCCTTGTTCCAAGGCAGTTGGAAATTTCTTTCTTTTTTCACTTTCCACTTCTAGTTGCTCATCACTTAGTCTACAGTCACCAGCAACAAACCACAACAGGCTCCAGCCTATTACAGATGTATCTAAAGACAGTTCTATTTGACAGGAAACCAATCTAGCATGGTCTAAATAAGAGATTGTCTGGGTTTAGGATAGCTGAAGCCCTACAAATCAGTGTGCAGCTCTCAGTTGGTGCTCTGTTCAACTGGAAGCTAGGCAGACAAATCCTTATGCTAAACTAACCAGGTTGCATATGTGGCAAAGCCTAATTCTCTAGCTTAAATGTCAGTAGTAGTACAGAACAGCTAAAGGTTGGGTGGGGCACAGAAGTCAAGAGTGACCCATGGCTGTATTTGCATTTATATCCTGAAACAAGCAAACTAGGACATACACATGAATGTAAGTTCAAAACAAGAAGAGACAGCAGGTTTGTTTTTTCCCAGAGAAGGCAAAGGAAAGGGAAAAAGTGGGTTGTAGGTGGCCGTAAGCGCTGGCCTGCCCAGCAAAGTGCATGTGCTGTCTCCGCTGGAGAATATTACACATGAACAGAGCACTCAGCTCCGTGGGAAGAGGCTGTTTAAGTGCAACGTTCAGCAGACCGATTCCCATTTATTTTTTGCATGAACTGTCAGTTCAGGATTTGGTGGCTTTAGGTTTTTTGTATTTGGTTTCAGGTTTGGGTTTTATTTTTGTTGGTTTTTTTTTTTTTTTTTTACTTTTTAAAACTTTATTTTAATCTTCCTGCTTTTCAAAGCGGGATTTGCTGGATGAGAGAGACAAGTTTGCAGGTCAGGACACCCATAAGGTGTATGAGGATTCAAAAGTCAAGAAAAGAAGCCCTCTCCCCAAAGGAAAACACGAAACAAGAATGACACCTTCTTGAGAAGGTCAACGGCTTTCAAGGAAATACCACCCGCCTTCCCCCTTTGCTCAGCTCTTCCCCTTGGAAGAGGTGGGGTGGAGGTCGTGGTCCAGGAACATGACCTAGATAGCATGAGTGAGCAAGAAGGCTCCCTCCGCCCTTCGTCCAGGGGTGCAGTACCAAGCAGAAGGAAGACAAATGAAGGGCTGAGCAGTTTGTGGCTGGGGTGGGGTGGAGCGGGGTCTGCGGAGCTCACTCCCCTTCCTCCTTGATGCGTTGTTGTTTGTTGCGCCGGGCATCCATGTCGAAGTTGAAGTCGTTCCACTCGTCGCGGGGCGGGAAGGAAATGGTCTGCCGGAGCGTGAAGCGGACCGCGTCGATGACCCGCTCCCCCCGGGTTTCGCTGGAGCCCACACTGACGGTGGAGGCGCCGCTGGGGGTGCGCAGGAGGTGGGGAGGGGAGGAGAAGTCATGGAGCTGCCGGTGGTCCAGGATGCCCTTCCAGATGGCATGGCGGAACTGCTCCGGGATCTTGAGGCTCACCAGATCCTGCAAGGCAAGGTGGAGGGCTTAACAGGGCAATCCCTGGGCAAGCTGGGCTCCAGGAGTAGCAGCAGCCTCTGGGCCACCCTGCAAATGCCTATTAACCAACAAAGCTGCTAAAATCCAGGTGCCCATGATGCACTGTAGAAGACAAACCACTAATCCTGAAGGTGGTGGTTCACTTCTGAACAAGCACATGTAGCCATGAGGTAGCAAGGACTAATGACTCAAGGTCTTTCTGAAGTTGCACAAAACACCCCTTCACGTATAAGATACAGTGACTTAAAGCAGCTGTTTAACTAGACTGCAAGGCCTCCAGGCAAGCTCAGGAAGATCTGCTGGCTGTCTATGGCAGGGGATACTGGGCTGCAGAAGTTCAATGGCTTTGAAAACTTCCATGTTTATTTCAAAACCTGCAAAAGGATTTTAGAATCCAAGTCTGAGCTCCAGTGTTCAAAGCTCTGGGTCTGACTAGGAACTGCCTTCGTTATTTGAACATAACCAGAATTTCAGAACAGACACATAACCTTAGAAAACTTGACTTTGAGGCCCCATCATCTCTGGTGCAGTACCTCAGGGTCACATTACCTAAACTCTGGGAAATGTGGTATCAGCTTCTGAAAAAATTAGCAACCAGCTTTGGTTAATTTGGGTCAGCTTTTCTAACCATAGCAGCAGCAGCAGAAGGAAGGCAGCCCATGCTAGGAAGCAAAAGTACCACAGCTTTGCAAAGTCTTGGGGCAAAAATACCGGACAGCCAGCTCTGAGGAGAGCAATGGCACAGGAGAGGAAGCAGCAACCCTGCAGCAAAAGCCATGCCAGAGAATAAAAAAAAACCCAAAACAGCTGGGCTGAGATGCCAGTGGCAAGGGAAGATTGTTAAGGTAAGGCCAGAAAACAGAAGCAGGGAGGGAAAAACACAGACCACTTCTGGACAGCCTACTTGTCTGCAGGCGAGTGAGGTGTTTCAGAGCGGTGTAAACTGAAACAAAGCCTTGCAGAATTAACCAGCGTGTGGGCTGGGGCCACTTTGCGGGCTAAAATGCACAGTGGTGGGCACGGGGAGACAGAGACACTCTTAAAAAAACAGAGCCTCTCTTGCTCTGTGCCAGGCAAGGCAGTTACAATGCTGGCCCTGAGTCCAGCCTCTCTTCACCTCACAATAAGTCTTCTCTGTGTGCAACAGCCTTAAATCGAACTAATCATATAAAAATAAAAATATACTGAGTCTGGATTTCTGACCTGTTCCTACAGCAGGGCCAAGGGTGCAAACAAAGGAAATGGTGAGGAGTTACTTACATCCATGGAGTAATGCTCAATCTGATAGATGGTGGTCAGCCCCTGGGTCGTGAAATAATCCACACAGGATGAGCAGCCCAACCTCGCTAAGAAGCTGCAGAGGAGGAAGGAAGGAAGGAGAGAGAAAAAAGGATCACCCTGGCTGCAACAGCCCAAACCACAGAAAAACCAAACACTCAGCCAACCTGCAGCAATAGAAAACAAAGCTTTCACCCTTGGCTTGACCTTCTCCAAGTCATCCCAGGTCCCAAAGTCACCCCAGCCCAAAAAGCCACATCACTGCCACATCAAACAAATGAGGGAGTCCTTCAGCTTGGCTCCTAGCAGACAACCCTCATGGCAGCACCTTGCCTTAGTCAAGAGCTGGTGCTACACAGCCTGGATCTTGGGGCAGGAAGGCTCACGTGGACCCTCCTGCCAGGTCACTTCACCTACAAGGTGGCTGAGCCCATGGCAGCCTGCTGCATGGATGGAGGGCTTCAGCAAGGCGGTGGGTCAGGGGCTCAGACACATCACGCACACAAAGTACTTCAAAACAGCACATTCCTCCCTAAGCGTAAACAATTCCTCCTTTAAGGGCAGCATCTTTCAACCTGTTTGACCTCATGGAGGGCAGAGGGGCTTTTGCCCCCAGCCATGGCTTGTTGAGTGGCCAAACAGGAGAAAAAAAGAAAAAAGAAAACGTTTCCAAGACTGCCTGGTGCCCTCTGCTCCACCAGTCCAACAGATGCTGCATCCCTCAGCTTTCCTGCAGTCCTAATGTCCCTGTTTCTCTTGTCTACTCAGAGGTGTGGGTTTGGGGCTCTGTGCCCAGAGGGTGCCAGCCCCAGGTCTGCCAAGACCTCCTGGGATCCAGTGCTCCAAGAAAACGGGGTGAGGGACCCAGCAGGACCCTCGGACTCCCAACACAAGACCTGCATTCC